GAGCTGGGCTGGGTCAGCCTGGAGAAGAGAAGGCATGTTTAGAGGATGGATTTTTTTTCTGCTCTTCTAAATGTGAGTGGGTTAAATGGGAATATAATTATGAGACGTTTTTGATCCTGCAGTTTGGGGAAATCATCTTGGAATCACGCTTGGAAAATTTGCTGTGAGATAGGGACTTGCAGCACTTCCTGGTGAGACTGTGGGCTGGCCAGATATGCAGCCATGTACATGGTTGTTAGGGATTGTAAGCCCATTAGAAGTGGAAGCTGCTTTTGGCAAAGCTGGGAAACTGCCAACTTTGTGTTTAGAAGACCACATACTGTTTTCTGTGGGCAGCTCCTGCAATCAGTCCTAAATAGCACAGTGCCAAGAATGTCCTGAGCCTTGTTGCCAAAGAGCAAGTGTAAGTGTTATTCAAACACTCTTCTCTCATAATTATTTCAGTATGATGTGCAATTGGAGGTGCCTGTCCTTCTCTGTGTATGCATAGTCATTTATACACTCCAGAGAGCTTTATTTTCTTATTCTACCTCTGTCATCTTCTGCATCACGGAAAGTCCTCACTGGTTTTGGAAGAAATGAGGATAATTCCCAGTCCAATCAAGCTTTTTTCTTTTGTGTCATAGAATCATACACTAGTTTGGGTTGGAAGGGACCTTAAAGCTCATCTAGTTCCAGTCCCCATGGGCAGGGATACCTCCCTCTAGAAGAGGTTGCTCCAAGCCCCGTCCAACCTGGCCTTGCTTAAAGGCCAACCCTTTCCAACCTATGGGGTTCTCATCCCATCTTTATGACTTCATCTACCTTCTCGTCTGGGCTTCTTTTGTCTTTGTAATAGTCTGTTAAATGATGTGGTGCCCACTTTACTCTGGTTATAAGAAATCTTACTAAACTGAAACCTTTCCCCATATGTTTTGCTAGTGCTGAGGTTTCTCATTACTTTCCAAGCGGTATCTGAAAAGAGCATGAGTATCTATGAGAGCGTGGTCTTCTAGAAGTGGCAGACTCTGTGTCTGACTTCACTTTAAGCCACATTCCTCCTACGTGTAGAAGTGTATCCACTTTTCTTTTATGTTCCTTTAAAGTAAGTGTAGACAGTTTTAACCTTCCCAATGGATTATAAAACTTTGACTTCTGAAGTAGCTGTTGTCTCTTTTGTTTTATTGACAACATATTTCTTCTGGACTTCCTGCAGCAAGGCTAATTTTGAACACTTGGAACCTGCTTTGTGATAGTCATTTTTGCCCAGGCTACCACAGTGGTTACCAAGATGTTGTTGTGTCATGACATGACATTTTCCCTCCCCATGGCAAGGGGTTGGAACTGGGTGATCTTTAAGGTCCCTTCCAACCCAAACCATTCTGTGATTTTATGACATCTCCCATGTGCTTTCATCTCTGTAGGTACAGCAACCTTCAATATCAGGTCAGCCTCTAAGCATGCTGCAAGTAGTCTTATGCTTTCATTTTGCATGCTGCAGAGTAAATGGTACCCTAATGTCTTACTCAAAGTTTCTCCAAACTGATGGTATTTTACATTGATTAATTTAAGTCCAAATTCAGAAACTCTGTATCATGTTTCTCAGGAACATACCTTTTTTTTCAGAACTGGTCATTTTGAAGGACTTTCCAAGCCCTTAGTAAATCACGTGGATTTAACAGGATTTGCTGACATCTGAGAGGCATGCTGATGAGAATTAGATTACATCTTCATTTTTCATACACTTTTCATTACCTTTCCTTCTGTTTCCACATTTTTATGCAAGTGGCATGTCTGTTAGTAAGCTGTCAAACAGTGGATTTTCCTAAGAGCTAGAACTTTAAAGTGTCCATGCTTGCTTGCTTGCTTTCCAAATCACTATTTTTCAAGCCTAGTGACTTTTTAGTGTATGCCTGCACTGAAATAAGATCTTTGTTGCAGTTTGGTTCTCTTCTTCTTATGTGGAGCAGATGTGTTAACATGTATAAAATGGTAAATTTTGCTGGTACTTATAAATACAAATTTACAAATGCACACATAGCTGTGGCAAGTTTGAATGCTACCAAAACCCTTCTGACAGTATTTTGGGCATCTAGCAGGCTGCTTAAAATTACTTCATACCAATACTGGGATTATAACTCAATAATTATAAGCTATTAGCCAAAGGTATTTAAGAGCTTGCATATGTTAAACAGTCTACATTATGAGGCCATGATATGTTGTCTTTGTGAGGTACCTGTAACTGTCTTGTAACTATGGATACTTGCATGTTGTATGGTGGACCAGTGAGAGATCAGTGAGTTAACCTGAAAGTAATTTGCAATAGATGGTTCCAGTCATCCAGCGTTACTGCCTCCTGAGGTTAGGATGAAATGGTGGAAGGTGAAAACAATAAAGGTGTGAGATGAAAATTCTGGAATTCTGCTGGAATCACCATTCCAGGTTATGGTTCAAGCACAGGATTTCAAAGACCTCACAATGCTGAGAATAAAATGAGGGAATGTACTCTAACTGGAATCCACGGCTCTTGAACAGCTCTGTTGTGGCCCCAAGGCAGTTGCTGTATCTCCCCAGCTGCTGGCTGTCTGTGACTTCCATTGGAGCACATCAGTAATGTGATTGAACCCTTCCAACTGGATTCAGTATCACAAGCCACTCAAGCGTGCGTTGATTTTTGGGTTGATGCCTCTTACCTTCTACTAGAAGAAAAAGAGGTGAGTAAAAGAGGACAAGAACCTGCATACATGTCAAATACAGGCCATGGTCTGCAAGACCACCCAGATAAAGGTGGATTTTCCAGGCCCTTTTTCAATATCATACGAAATAACTCAGGGTAGGAAACAGAATACAGATTTTACCAGTAAATATCACTCTGTATTTCTTCTCCTTTCTTTTGGCCACCCATGCATGCCAATCCTTCTTTCTAAAATTCAGCTCCAAGAAAAACTGACTTTTGAAGACTCTTACTGTGGTTTGGAAATACTGCTTTGTTTTCTCAGTAAAGCAGTATTTGGACTCTGGTGTCCTTAAGCAGTGTGCAATTCTGTGTTTCTTTGGATTTTGTGTGAGCTTTTAAATCTGAGAGACCCAGTGGCAATGAGGATGTGGACACTCATTCCTGGGAGCGAGTTTTACTTGTATGTGTTGGAATGAAGCAGCAGTTCTTCTTTGGTAGTAACTCCCTAGTGCAACAGATTGACAGTGGAAAGAGGATAAAGCTGTCTTGGAAGCAGACCTAATTCTGGGTTATTATGGGATTGGAAGTGTGTGTGTATAACTGTGTAATTTTTTAACTCATTTGGCTTTGGGGTTGTCTGTCATCCAGCATTTCCTCGATCCTTCTGCTGAGAACACCTCCACAATTTGATTATATATTGTTGTTGATAAGCTTAACCCATTTTCTCAGGTTAGGATTTCCCTTATCTCAGCCCTTACAGTGGCTTTTTTCATTGACACCAATTTTACCTTCCTCTTTTCATTCTGAAAAAACACAGGTATAAATCCTATTTCCTTGTGCTGTCTTCTGAACTTGTGTATTCATTCTCTGTGTCCTAGTAGTTTACATTTAAGCTTCCTATTCTCATCCTCATGACAGTCAACAATCTTGCTGTTCATAGAGTTTGAGGCAGAAGGGGCAGTCAGATTATCTGGGTTGACCTGGAAGTTTTGAGTCACCACATCACAGAATCAGCTAGCTTGGAAAAGACCTTTAAGACCATCCTTTCCTTTCAATCCAGCGACTACTAACTTGAGTGCATCTTCTATTTTAATACCCAGTCTTGTTGAAAGCCAAGATGTTCAAAATCAACTGCTGTCCTTGGTAACTTCTTCCAGAGGTTAACCACTGTTACTATTAAAAATGCCTGCCTTATTTATACTTTGAATTTGCCTGGTTTTAGATTCCAGTCATAGTTTTTTGTTATGTCTTTCTCAAGCTAGTTGAACATATGTGGCATTTTTCATCTTGTGTAGGTACTTGTACATGTTAATCAAATCTTCTTTTTGTTCCTTCTTTTAGTAAGGTAAACAGATTGATCTCCAAGTTCCACCATAAGGCATTTTCTCCTGCCCTCAAATATCTTATGTGGTTCTTTCCTGCACCATTTCCAGTGTTTTAACATGCTTGGAAAAATACAAACACCAGAATCAAACAGTATTCTAGTATCTATGTGGCTATGTCTGCATACAGGGAAAATTGCTCTCCACTCTCCCCCCATTTCTTACTACTTACCATCTGTATATGCAAAAAATATCTTAATCCATTTTGCCCCAGCAGCATGCAGAGAACTAATGTCCACTCTGACCCCTTAATCGTTTTCAGGAGGGAAAAAGTTGCCTTGGTCCTAGTGTTCAACTGTGCGTCGAGTTGTGTCAGGCTGTCTTCTTGTTCACCTAAAGAGTTGCAGCTCTCTCAGCCTTCCCTCATAGGAGAGATGCTCCAGTACCTTCTTCATCTTCATGGCTCTTTGCTGGATTCTCTCCAGTATGTCCATGTCTCTCATGCCAAGGAGGCCACAACTGGACACAGTACTCCAGGGGTGGCCTCACCAGTACTGAGTAGAGGGGAAGGATCACCTCCCTCAAGGTGTATCCTTATACATGTTTTCACTTGACTCTGAGAACAACTTATAAATTCTCTGAGTGGTCGCTTTGTAGTTAATAAAATTTGTAGTTAATAAAAAGTGTAGTATAATAAAATTTATTTTTCTCAGCATTTGATAGAATTAATATTCCTCTTCAGATTGTTTATGACTGTAGGCTTGCAGCTAGTGATTGTGCACTGCTGCTTCAGGGCCTTGGAGCAACCTGATCTAGGGGAAGGTGTCCCTGCCCATGGCAGGGGCTTGGAACTGGATGAGCTTTAAGGTCCCTTCCAACACAAACCAGGCTGGGATTCTGGCCATTAAGAAGCTTTTGTTTAAGATGTGAAGAAATAAAGAGTAAAGAGAAGCTAAGACAGATGTGCAGGCTTGTTCAGAAGTATAATACTGCCTTTTATTTCTGATCATTTTTCTCTCTAGAATCCCTCTGGCCAAAGATTCGTGTTCCCTTGAAAGTCGTTAGGACTGCAGAAAACAAGCTCAGTAACCGCTTCTTCCCCTATGATGAGATTGAAACAGAGGCAGTGTTGGCTATTGATGATGATATCATTATGCTAACCTCAGATGAACTCCAGTTTGGCTACGAGGTAAGAGAACCTTTTTTGTGTCTCTTGGGCTGCCCTCTTCGACATTGCATGTGTGTATAAAGTGGAGCAATCACTGCAGAGTCCGCTGATTCATACTGTTGTCTCTCTCTTTACTGTAACAGTTCAATGCTGACTGAAGTATTTTTACAGATAGTCATTACTTTATGGAAAAAATTGCCAGCTAACAGAAAATTTTCAGGAACTGGCACAATAGTGCCAAGAGACTCCAGAAAATGTTGTGTAATTGCTGTAATGGGAACAGTGTGGAGGCTGAATTGCATTCTTCTCATCAGTTTCAAAGCATTTTCAGACAAATCACAAGTGCTGTCCAAGTTAATGTGTCTTGATGGACAAGACAAGTTTCAGAGATTAAGTGTTGGGAACAGAGGAGGCCTCTTGAGGACATGCCGAAGTAAGGTGGAGTGCAGTGAAGAGAGGAGCTGAAGAATGTCAAGGAGGGGACGCATGTATCATCTGCTTGAAATGGCAAAGCTTCAACAGCTGCTGTTGTAATGAGGGTTTGTCCAAATCAGTAACCATGGCAGTAAAAAGAGGTTGACAGTCTCCATTGGCATTTGAGTTGTTTGTTAAAAAGTACACTTACTTAAAAGCAACACTCTTGTTTTTCTTCCAAACCTTTGCTTTGAATGAGTTGATTTTTGTCTTCATTTGTATTTGACCTTATTGCACAGTCCATAATCTGACATTACTGTTACATGTGTGTATTTAAGGCAAACATGCTATATTTGTAAATAAATCAGAAACATTAGAAAATGTAATGTCATATTTTAAGAAAGGTTTGAGTTATTCAGTCACTCCTGTACCTGCAGTACCAAGAGTAAAACAGTTCTGGGCTTCATACATGAGTGCCAGAACACACAACTATTACCTAAATTGAGTGAAATAATGAGAACCACTTTTCTAGGGGGCAGAGACCAAACTAAATGGGATAGTTGTCTCGTTTTTAACAATCTTAACTGCAGTTGTTAACACAAGAAGATATTTTTTCAGAGATGTTGGAAGTATTTCTTTAAGGTAAATACGTATGTGATAAAATATGGCTCTTTCTCCCTCTCAAGTGAAAGAAGCTGTTAGCAAGTAACGAGCTTTGGCCTCCAGAAATGACTTGTGGTAATGTAGGTATGCTGATGTAACAACGAAGATGTTAAGTAGTGGAGACAGAGGTTTAATCTATCATGTGTGTCTCCAGAAAGGAAATAATTCCCTTGCCAGGTTAAGAGTAACAGGTTAGAACATGAAGTGTGAAAGATGAAATGAGAAGACAACTGAAGGAAGGGGTTTTGGCCTCATATGCCTTCTCTGTACTTTGTTGTCTACACTGAATGTTTTAAGCACTGCATTGCAACAGCAAAGCAATCAAGTGTTGGCAGTTCTGCAAGCTGACTTATTTTTGTCTGTGTTGGTGCTTCTAACTACTAGTTTTCAGGGTGAACTGATGGGATGAAAGATAGCAAAGCCATAACGTGCATGCTGTGTAAATCCTGGCTCCATTTGCAGTTTGATTCTCATTTTCATCGAGCTGTCTCCAAGTAAATAGAAGTAAGTTCTCTAAAAACCTAAGTGACTGTGTAAGTAGTTCCAAATGAACCTCTGCTACTGGCAAAACAGGCGTGAAGGGCTTCAAAGCAGAGATTCAAACTGCAGCTGAGCTTCAGCTGTGTCCGCTAGAAGTTGTGAGAAGTAGCACGTGGTATTCATGTGTCTGAAGTGTTAATTTAAACATCCTCAGCGGAGGAGATTTGTAACTTCACATCTATTGGGTCTGGTTGCTAAGGCAGGAAAGGGTTATCCTCGTGGAAAAAGGCAAGGAAAAGTTGATATGAATTCCCCTGTAGTCAGTGTGATTAGGTGGCAGTTGGGACTTGCAACTCTTCATCCCCAGGTCTAGCTGCTGGACTGTGCTGGCTAATTTATTGGCCTTCTGTGGACCATATGCCCTGGTTGTAGGGACTATGTAAGGAGCAGTCCTTATATTCAGTGTGTGAATGTAACTGTTGGGACTTAAGATTGTTTAGTCTGGCAGACTAAAGACTATTGCTTTTGCAGATTTTTTTGCATTTTATTATAAATCCTATTACTTTTTGATTCTGGGAATTGAGTTTACTGCGCAGCCACATCGATGGAAAATAGAAATGCCTTATAGAGCAGATAGCTGAGTTTGAATGCTTATATTTTGAGATTGCTTTTTATTTTCCCCCTGTAAAATGCATAGAAATGTTTTAAAATACAGCAGATTATTCTATAAATACACTTTTTTTCTTATGCAGAGGGTGGATGATGTAGTTCCTACTCTCTGGCACAGAACTCGGGGGCTGAAGATTGATCTTTCCTGTCCCTGAGTGTCTGTGACTTGCTTGACAGGCCTGAGCTGGCTCCCAGATGTTTAAATTGTCCTCAGCCTGTGATAATTTATTTATCTGTTTATGTGTGTTACCAGAAAAGTATCTCTCAAGCTCTTGACTCATTTGCAGGGGAATCCAGAGGGAACAGTAGCAGCATATAATGTTACTAGAAAGTTTTCTTTGAAAAGTATGTCTGCTTCTGCTTTGGGCATAAGGAGGGCTGGAAACGTGACATTCGGTAATTTTCTTTTCTCCTCCTGACATCCTTGAAACTTTACATTTAAACATGTGGCAAAACCCCCTCTGTCACAGACTTGTCTGAATGTATAGAGCAAGCCTAAAAAAACCCAGGAAACTTTGATCTCCGTACACTTTCAGCCATAAAAAATTATAGTAACACTCAAAGTGTCAGACATTTTTTACTTGTTAAAAGTGAACTATTACGGTGCAGTGATTTATGGCATTGCATAAATCTATTGGAGCAAGCAGAAGAATAGTCTGTGTGCTGCTGTAGGAAGGTAGTAGAAGAATACTTATGACATTCTGACTTCGGAAAAAGTATTTCTGTTAAGTTACATGATGAAACCACAGACATGACTTGGGGCACTGGGGAAAAAAAGCTGTTAGGGCTAAACAGCTTCTTCTCCACATACTGATCTTTGTGTCCACAGAGGGAGTATCAGAGAGATTCAGGAAAAGCAGCACGTATTTAGATTATCGTAATTAAAACAAATGAAAACAGAACTATTGGCTCCTCAAGTGTTTGGTGTCTGAAGGTGGTACTGAAAGCAAGCATTGTAGTGTTCCCACCTCTGCATATAACTGGCCTTGGGGTAGGTGGCTTAGTGGTTTGTCACCCTAAAAAGTGGGATAACAATTTCTAAGTATGAAGTTCACGAAGATTTCTTATGTACTTGTGCAGCACTTTGTCCTTACAGAGTATTTTCAT